GCGTAGTCATATATTCATTATTCGAATATTCTTTACTCGTTATAAATGAAACATAGTTTGCTATAGTGAATAACGAATAATCGTTCGTTCCTTTCTTTCGAGGTTTACGTATTACGGCCCATCTCTACATACAAGTAAAGTTCAACTTTACATACATGTAAAGTTCATAATTCTAGAATTCTTAATTCTACAGGTAATAGCAATGTTTGAACTTTACATTTTGTAATTGTAATCGCGCACGTCTGTTTTATATATCATTGAACAAGCCACAAATTTGAATAAAAGTACACTACATGTGGCAGCATTTTGGATTGGTTTCTGCAGATATACGATCGGGTATAACCAATGAGTACATGGTCCCTAACCGTCTTCTGGTAAGAACATTTTGTACGTTAGTAAAGCTCACACCAGCGTCGAAACTGACTTCATAAAGGCGACAAGTTGACCGTGAAAAGAATTTCTATACGCAGTTTAATTTCTCAAAAGTTGTTCAGAAATATACTCTCACTATGACTCGCTGAAGATAACCTAATTCTTTGCCGTATTTCACAAGTTGATCTGTTCTCAAAAGTGCAAAGAAAAAATGCAATATTGTAATTTTCCCCTTTTGCGTATAAAAAATATTAGTTTTTCTTTCTTTTTTTCTTCTTCTCATCAAGCCTGTCCTTATATGAATGTAGACGTCATCCAAGCAGAGGTGTTCTGATACATTTCACGTTTTCATAAGTATGATTTCTCTTTTGTGCACAATTATCGTCTATGATCACTTACGCTACAACTAAATCTAATTTTGCCTTAGGCCTGTCATACGTCTGTGATATAAGAATCTATTCTAGCATGTCTCATTAAGTTCTATCGATCGATTCTCGAAGTTCATCGGGTTTCTAGTTTATCTACGAATTATGATCTTTCAGATCTTTCGCTTGCTGAATGAGTTCGTTAAGCTTTTTAAGACGATCAAGAGACGGAGGATGGCCTATATTTTCAGTGTTCTCTTGCATTTCCAGCTCTTCAGCAGCCATGAAACATTTTAGCGCGCTTTTTCCATCCTGCAAATCCATGTAACTTTGTCCCAACTTAATAATAGCGTCCGAAGTATCACGAACGAGACGAATGAGAAGGTCCTTCTCATGATCGAACATTTGCATGTTGTGTTCATAGCCATGTTCAAGAGCCCACTCGACTAAACCTTTCATATAACCGCAGAAAATGTAGAAAGAATCGACGCGTTGAAATCGGGAAACAATCGTGGGAATGATTTCTTTTCCGAGTATACCAGACGAGATGAAAATTATACGCTTATCCTTTTCATACTCAATCAAAGCTAATGCGTCTTCATTTGTGGCAACAAATTCGATTGGAGCCACATTTTTTTCAAAGCAGCAGATGAGCTCATTGATACTATTGGGTGGCATAGCGGCGACGGGTTGAAGATGAGCTCGAAACTGATTTTTGAGAGCCTGATACTCTCCAATAACTCCAATATGTGTGTCTAGCCAGATGATACGAAGACCATCTGCCAAAGCCATCCTGAATAAATAAATAATATTGTGAGTATCTAGAAATCAAAATCCATAATGCGATAATATTAAAGTACTCGGCATGTATCTTGTTCAAACATCTCGTATACGGTATAATATTAACTTATCAGTCGAAAAACATCGTTCAATGTTTGCAACCTTTACTAATGTGCTCCTTTTTCTACAATGATCCATTATTCAATGACCTTAGACCTGATTATTATTCATGTACAAGAAGTACAATAATATTAAATAATCATTTTAATTTGATTCTAATTATATTTACTATTACATAACGCTCCATTTGTATTCTAAATTACTTAATTACTTTAACCTTGGCTTAGCACTTGAGAATGACTCGACGATTCTTTTAGTGAATTGATATTTCAATAGTTTTTAGAAAAATTTGATTCTAAATGAATAAAACCTTCTAAATGATATAAAACCTCATCTTCGAAATGATATAAAAACCTTTCTATCAAAAGTATCGCTGGTAAATTATGTTTACTATTGTTTTTACTCAAAAGCACAATTTCCACCAAAATAAATTCATCACTATACGTCTGTCTGACTTTTTTTTCATTTTATAAAAAGAATTTAAAACAACACCTGAATAGTTACACAGTTACGCAAGTCATTTGACTCGATGTATAAAGTCTATAGCTAATAATATGTTTTCGTTGGTGAGATACAAGGCGTTTTATTATTCTTTTTTTCTTTCTTCTCAAACTATTTTTTGTATTGACACGGTAGAAATGCAAAAAAAAGTATTAGGGTTTTTTAACTAAACATTCACTTGATTAGATATACCAAGTAAATACTTGATCAAGAACAGAAAACTTTGATTTTGCGTATAGAAAAAATAAAACCACATTTCATTTCTTGGTTGATTTATATTTTAGTAGCCACAGGTAGATGGTAGATAGTGAAAATGAAGGAACACAAATATACATCTTTACATAAATAAAAACAAAAGCATGGTACTGTGAAGGCGAAAAAAGTTCTGAGAACCTATAAACTTTGCTACCTTATTTTCTTCACGTAAAGAAAACGCAAAGAATTTATTTATCTAGAAAACTTGAGACTTTTTAGATAAAAATTAAACTTTCTGACCAACTATACATTGTAAAACCACACAAAGGTGGTTTGACGAAGTTGACACAAGTTAAACTTACTGAAATTCTGTTTTGGCTATGCCAGAATGATAATCGGATTAAAATAATTTATTTATTTATTTATTTTTTTCCATCGAATAATAAAAATTAAAAAGTTAACAAAGAAGAAAAAAAAGACTTAAAGAAGATTAAAAGATGGCAAGATGGCTGGGTTTTTCTCTGTACACAAACGTTTTCAATACTTCATCAGTTGGCCAGAGAAAGAAAATGAGCGGGAATGCGATTCACATCGGTTAATAAAGTGAATAGATAAGAGAAGAATGCTCTAGGAAGATGCATAACTGTTTGTGCATGCAGTATATGAGTGGTAATAAAAGAATATGGGATATTTTGATGATTCGATAGTGGAATGCGAGCAACAGAAAGAAATGAAACTATCATAGGATGGGAAAGAAAGAGAGAAATGAATCGTCTCTCATATATGTATGTTTATCACTTGTACGTGGAAACATTGCTGAGATATAGGAAAGGAAATTGAATGATAGCTTTTTATTATGGATGGCAAGGACTGGATGATGATTCTGAATAAGCAAAACAATTAAAAAAAGTTAAAAAGATTGAATAAAAGGAATTGTATCAGAAACTTTCATACATTCGAGAGAGGAGGGCGGGGCGGAGGCAGTGTGAGAGTGAGTCCGGGGTATTTTTTGCAGTGAGTATTTGTTATCGCGATTGGCTAGTAAGAAAAAGTGAGAAAAAAACATCTGAGCTAAAGTTCTATAAGAGACAGAAGTAATTGTCTTCTTAGTCTATTTCCGTTGCTTGTAATTGTCTTGAGGCTACTTCATACGGCTTTGAAGCGGTATTCAGTTTTTGTATATGTGTATGAGGAGACGTTGCTACTCGGGCCGCTGACTGTAGTCCTCCATTGGGATGATATATGGTGCTTGACCGGCGAAAGTGGCATCTGCTGTTGCCCGTCTTTTATCAATTCCAGTCATGATTGCCATTGCCCGATATTTTCTTACATGTCTTTTAATAAATTGGGCTATGAAGTATCCAATGGCAGCAGCGATAATTAACGCGATGATCATAATCAGAATATCGCGCCAGTTGAAATGGACGCGTTCATTGTGCTTTTCAATGACGTTATGCAGATCAATGTTGATTACATCTGAATTGATGTTTTTATGTTCGGTACCAAAAAGTATTGCTTCTGAGGCTTAAAAGTGATTTGCGAAAATGAAGATGTGAGAAAAAGGATGTGAAAAAAAATTTGCACTTCTGTTTTGAGAAATAGAGGAGACGATAAAAAATAGCTCGCATATTCAACATGTGAGGGGAAAGCAATGAAATGGCAGGACTATTTCCGCTGATAACATTCTATTCAAAGATAAGTTTGAGAATATTCTGAGGTCATTTGATGGGTGCAAATTCTCATTCTATCAGTTATACATGATGGGGAAATAGTTTGATTATTTTGATTGTAAAATTTTGCATGAAGGCTTTTTACGAACAAGGTTTTGCGTGAGATTTGGAGTCAAACGGTATCCTGAAATAGGGTTGATAAATGTGAGTGGTGTCTCTCGAAAAACACTGTTCTATATACTAAGCAATCGGGCGCCGAAGCACTCTAATGCTGGTATATAGAAAAAATGGATCAACAGATCTGTTTCCCAATTATTCATGTCGATCGGTGTGGATTACTCTCTTGCTGTTTCCAATCGGTACGAAAGAGTTGTTTTCGAACTTTTCCATAGTTCTGAGAGTTGGTCGAGGGTGGATAGTTTTAAATCTCGCAGTAAGCGTTATCTCAATTCTGCATGCGCTGGTCAGCGAGTTCGATACTCGTTAGCCACATTTTTTTTTTCGTATTTTTTAAGCTAGGTTAGAGCACCCGGTTAACCTGGCGCTTCAACCGCCCGGTTAACCGGGCACTCCAACCACTCGGTCAACCGGGCACTCGAACCGCCCGGTTAACCTGGTTGATCACCTCCCTCTAATCAAATATTTTTCGTCTTCGGATCTAGCTTAACCGATTGGTTAACTGGCGGTTAACCTAGATGTCAACCTCCCGCTCCTACTCGATTATGATAACTTACTGCTCGGTTCACGACTAGGTTGAAGCTAGCTAACTAGGTAAAAAGATACATTTACCTATATCTATCAAGTGAATACCCGCGCGGTTATGTAGCCGATGGAGCTAGATTCTCTCTGTAGAGAATTTTTGCTCGGGAATGACGTTGGCTTAAGGGGGGGTCCCCCCATTTAGATTTTTCTCTAGCGTTCCCAGTTTGTAGAGGATACTTCGAAGTATATGTCCTGAAATTTTTTCGGCTTACTGACGTTATTTGGCTGAGAAAAAAATTAATTACTTATAAAAATGTTGTTAAATTTTTGAACATGGGGTTATTACAAAAAAAATTCCTGTCCATTCTCCATTCATCACAAAAGCTTGGTTCTTGCCTAGATCGATAGAGAAATGTGTGGAGAATATTTACGACGAGAAAATATGTAAAAAGTTTTGTTCTT